ATTTCAACTTTGCATTTTCTATTTATTTTTACTTAGATCCCAAACAAAAAATAAACGTCTATATACACTGAAAAGTATTTCTGTATAAGAACTATTTTAACATTGCATGTTCTATTCATATTCGGATTTATTTAAATCTCCGACTAAATAAAAAAAAATCAAGTTTGGTTCAAAAATATACTTACGATACAGAATGAAATCATTTTTTTTTTTTTTCGCTTGGGGTGTACTTATTTTTCGACTGTTCTGTATTCACATTTTTTGCTTGGTTTCGTTGATGTAAGTTCTGGTAATAAATAATAATTCATTATACCATTATAATATTCGCTAAAAAATGAGCATACCATGATGAAAAAATGTCCCAAACAAAAATTTATCGTCAAAATCTTTATGTTATTATTAAAAGGAAAGACCCAAGAATTGCTTGCTTATTAAATTGTATTTTTTATACTTTTTAGAACTTTCGAAATTTTGGTAAAAATTTTGTTTTTCTTGCGTCAACGGGGTGGGCCAAATTTTAGCGTCGTTGTTGCTGTGAAAAACACATTGATTTGGAAACTCATGCGAAAATTAAATAATTATCGTATTTTCATTGAAAAGACACATTTCTAAAATATTTCAGGATTTATTCACAAATGAATTAAAATATTTTAGAAATGTGTTTTGTTTAGAAAATCTTGTTTAAAAAGTTTTTATTTTTTTTTTAATCTGTTATTCTCCCCACTTACTTAATTTTATTAACTTTCAAGAAATTAATTTTTGCACCATTAATGTTTATACGCAGTTTTCCTTGGAGAATTAAAATCATCAATTTCTTTTTTGCAAAAATCTGCTCCGATTCGTAAAATAAAAAACGCAATAAAACTAAGACATTATTTAATTAGAAAAGCTTTTAATTGCTTTTATGAATAAGATATCTTATGGGCTCTATTACTTTCAGAAAAAAAAATCAATGTATAATGAATTTTTGCAAAAATTGATTTCATTTTTTTTATTTTAATTAAAATAATTTATAAAGATTTATTTTTTTTAATTTCTATATTAATTTGTACTGATTAGGCGATATTGTTATCAAGTAAAAACTATATGTAATAATCATAAATGGAAAAGCTTACTACAATTCAGCGGCCTACAATAAAAAAAGAATTTTGAAATATTTTTGTGCGTGCCTATACATGCCAATTCTTGTAAATACGGCGTCTATACACAATATTATCAGAAAATAACTATTGTGAATCTAAAGCCAAAGTACCTAAAATTCAATAAAACATTAGATTACGAAGAATATTTTCCTAAATTGTTAATATTATTGGTTAGCTAAAAATTATATAAAAGAGCGCTCACGTTATATTCCTCAAGTAACTTTTACAAATATGTCCGTCGTAGAAAAATTTGATAAACTTCCGTCTGTCAATCAAGCTGTCAACCTGTCAACACCTTTAAATAAACACATTCTACGATATTTTAAAGTTAAAGTAATATTTGTTTCAAATCAGATTATTTAAACTATAAATCAGATAATATTCCTCTAATAAATTTTCAGAAAAGCATATTTTCTTTTTGAAGGATATTTAATAAAGAAAGTTACAATGTGCTGACAAATGGCGCTAAAAATGGCGATAAATTAGCGAATTTTAGCGATTCAAAAAATCTTTCCTGTCAATTTAAATTAGTTTTGAAATAGGGCAAAGTATTTTGTTGACCTGAAATATTAAATTTAATTTATTAGCTTGAAATTAAAAGTAAAATAAAATCTATAAGGTTTTTCATTTTAATAATTCATAAAATTCTAAAAAATAATAAAATAATTCTAAAACCTTAGATATCGCGTTTCTGTGGAGGTACCTATATATATATATATATATATATATATATATATATATATATATATATATATATATGGCCTGACAATTGCGTCTAGCATGAAACAGACTGTCGCCTCTAAGTGTTGACTTCAATATTCACTTTTATATTTACACGCTCTATCTCTGATATTGAGCACTTTATCCCATAAATATAGCATACATATATATAGCATATATATATAGCATATATAGCTATATTTCTTCATATATATATATATATATATATATATATATATATATATATATATATATATATACCCCTTTACCCTGCTTTTAGTTTCCTTTCATTCACTATTCAGTCAGTTTTAGAGCCACTGAAGTGACAGGGTGTAATCAATTTCTATTTTTTCTCAGACTAGGTCATTTGCAATGATGTGCAATAGTATGAATCTATCTAATATGTATGATGAAATTTGTTTGAACTTGAAAAATATTGCGCCATCCGTGATTGCAGCAGATTTTTATCACGCCCAGACACTATTGTCTCGACTGTCAATTAGTTGTCCTACAGCCATTGTTTGCAATGGACGTTACTCCAAGGAAGCATTCGAAAATTGTAACGCTGCAGAAACACACTGGCAAGCCTTATCAGTGAGCAAACAAACTACAGACTATAGACTGACTCCAGATTTAAA